AAAAGCCATTAAATCGATGTACTTTAAAAGATGGTCAGGGTGAGAACAAAAGATGACCTGAAAAGCTCTTACACTGTTGTTGGAAACATTAAAATAAATTGCATTATGATAAAATCAACAATTGTTGGTTTTAACACCCCCCTTCATCAGTAAGCAAAATATTCAGTGTAACCAAATACAGAGATTCAATTGTCCAAAAACAACCAGTTTCGATTGAAATGGACAACATACAAAGAAGCAGAAATCAAATTAGTTACATGATATATCAATGAAAATGTTTGTACTTAGGTAAAAGTGAGAAATACTAATTTACATTTGAAACTTGGTGAGATGATAGCTAAGTGATTAGGTATACCCAAAGAAACCAAAACAAACAATAATTGGATGAAATTCACAATTATAATATAGTCAAGATGTACAGACTTAACATTATATGAGGCAGTATCAGACAGATGTAAATTTCAATGTATGTGAAGATCAAATGGTAGTATATGTGACTGCATTTAGCTGTGGCTATGTGTCAGTGTAATCATGCTCCAAACAAAGGCAAAGAAGTTTTACAATTGTGATGCAATTTGGCCCTGTTGTAACAGGGAGCCAGACTGAGAATGTGAGTATGAGGTGTGATCTGGCTCACAATGCTTCCATACCAATGTTTTTTGTTAAGGAGCATGATAAAGTGCAAAGTTCAGAGCTGAATCCTGTTGTGAGGAAAGCATTTTCATTGTTAAGACAATTGTGAATCACACTGTGGCCACATGGCAATTCTATGCTCCTGTACATGGATCACTGCAGCCATATGGAAAATAGCAGAGTGTACCACTCAGGAGACAAACAAATTCAACATAGACACACATGCAACTTGAAATTGCTATGCAATTCCAGTAGTACAGTTATTCCAATTTTACACAAGACGCATAGTCTAGAATGCTCAGCATCTACAACCTTTAACCTAAGTGTTTCACACACTTACAGTAACGTAGTCATGTGTTTTAAAAGAATAAACTCAACTAGCCTTTGTGCACATGTAGATACACAAACAACTATAATGTGCTCTATGCGCACAATGTGTTTAGCACAATTACAAATTTGAAAATACAAACAGGATCATTGAAATTTGGATGTTTACATATTAAACTCATTGCTATTAAGCTGCTAACCCACTAGCAAGTGAAGTCAATAGCTGGAGGCCTTGCATGAACAATGCAGTCAACTCACTAAGAGTTTTACCTGCAAATGAGCATTGATATCTGCCTTTAGAAAGTGGTTTCCTATTTTTCTGAAAATAAGGTGGATGTTTACCCCTACCCAGTGACCAGCATTTTTCCTCTGAATGGCCTATTTTCTGACAGGAACTACAAAACCTGCTATCTTTGCCACAG